GGGAGGTTGTTCTTTGTTTGTTGTCTGTTGTAATTTTTTTTTTTTTAATTTTTGCTGTTTCTTTTTTTAATCGATTATTTCCTCCTGAAACAACAAATGCAGTTTTTGGGACACCTGAATAGAAATGAATGTCTTGAACATCTAGCTTCCAATGGCAAAATTGAAGGCAAACGACGCAGGGGTAGGCCCAGAGCAACCTACTTAGGGAACCTATACAAATGGATAGCAAGGAAAGATCAGGGAAACGTATCTTCTTTAGGAGCATCCAAGCAAAGAAATTAATGGAGAACCATGAACGCCGATGTCTGCCGCAGATCTGGCACTGGATGATGATCTCCTTATGTCTGCTGGGATGTTGTATCCCACTCAGCCCAGATTGGTCAGGACAGACAGGGTTACAGCAGTCCACTTTTTAAATTACAATACTTAAATTATCTCAATTGTGTCGATGGGAGCGTTAAACATTTACAATTATTTTACTTTTTTTTAAATCTATTCCATCTAATGTAGATAATTTTAAAGGCATATCGTTCCATTCCCAGCCAAGGCACTAGGCATTAGATGGGAATGAGAACGATCCAGATCCTTATGCGATTCAAACATCGAAGCTCTGTGACTACAGCATTAAGTTTCATAGTTATCATCATGTTGTAAATGTTTTATAGCGATCATGATGTAAATAGAGGTATCAAACGTTTCTGTAATTATTATGACGTAAATTTTGAAAATTCTCAGGACGTAAACAGTCTATTTCACGTATGTATTTCATGTTTATCATTTTATGTAAAATATATTATATCTTGAAGGAAATGACACCACAACTATCTATCTATTGGTCTATCGACATAGTACATCTGTCTGTACATCTATTTTTATATATTTATCTAGTATTTTTTATAGTTGATGTTATTGTTTTTTGCACGTGTGTTGTTGAGCATGTGACTAAAAGTATTGCTGCTTTGTTTTCATTGTTTTCGTTTGGGTATTTTCATCGCACATCTTTGTTCATTTGTAAAGGGGCGGTTTTGTTGGTGGAGGCTGTCTTGTCTTCCTTTACCTTCTTTTAGTTTGCTGGGGGGTTGTTTAAGGGAATAACGTTGAGAAAAGCAGGGAAAGTAACACATTTTCCCATGCCGCCATCTTCTTGTCCTGTCCCATGTTGCCATCTTTTTCTACTGTCCAATATCGCCGTACTGATAATGGTCTGTCGAAGAATTTTACCTTCTTCTTGTCCTGTCCCATTTCACCTTCTTCTTGTCCTGTCCCATTTCACCGTCTTCCTGTTCTGTCCCATTTCACCTTCCTGTTGCCCTGTTCCCTATCCATGGAAACGAGCCTTTTATTTCTCAAATTTGATTGCGATTTTAAGACTTCCTAGTATGCTTGTTATATGTATGAAATTTGGTAAAATTTGGAAATTTGGTCTACTAACAAGCAAGATAGCCTTCAGGTGTAGCCCCCCCCCTTAACCACCTTTGGCGCCACTGATGTCTTAACTCCTGTATGGTCCATGTACGAGTAGATCTTGTTGGTGATATTCACAAAAACATCTCTTTACAGACGGAGGAAAATCTCTGATCACAAATCTGCAGGAGGTGGACCTTCCTATAGTGAACCAACAAACATGCAGCAATTCCTACGGGACACGTTATGTCAACGATCTCAAGTTCTGTGCGGGAAATTTCACGTCAGGCGGAGTGGATACATGCCAGGTCAGATTCTTGCACCTCATACCAAAGATCACACACTACAAGATAGTTCACTCAGCCAAAAAAAAGTGTCTTTGGTCGTGCGCGCTTTGCTTTAGATGGCGCTGGTCCACTGTGTTGAAGCTCTCTTTTGTTTCTCCGAAAGAAGAATAGGAATAGCACGCCTATGCGCACCCGGGATCGACTGCCGGTCATTGGTCTAAAATCAGCTGTTTGGGTTCACTTAGAACGGAGTTTAGGTGGGGGGGGGCCGGGGTTATTTCTCTGACCTTTCTTTCTGAAACCACATTAAACGACGAAAACAGTCGCCTTTTCCACGTGAAAAGATGCCTTTTGTCAAAATAACCATTTTAAAAAGGCGTTCTTCCGAAATCCAAACTCTTAATTTATTCAAATAATATAATAGTCAGTTTCACAAAGTATGCGCTTTTTGGAAGAGGTCGCCCCCGGATTTTTAGGACGCTTTTTTATAAGCTCAAAGAGAGGAGTGGACCATCCTGTAGTGTACGGTCTTTGCTCGCACTAGAAAATCAATGCTTTACGTTATTGTGATTATAGGTACATTGTGCACCCCGGTGTCTGTGGTGTAGTAGTTTAGCGCTTCGCTAACAGGATTCCCATCTGAGAAAAACATTTGCATCGAATTGTTCGGTCTTACTCCCTGGCAATTGTATCTCTCTCTCTCTCTCTACCCAGGTTGGCCCTGGATGCAGGGTATGAAGCCTGCCCCCAGAATGATCTAAATTGTGTCGGTGGAGGTGTAAAAACATACCACAAATATATTTCTCCTTAATGCTTTTGTTATTGGACATGGGTGTTTTGAATTTAGGGCAGCTTTCTGTCGTGGGTGGTGACAAAAGAGTCCTTTTTGTGTGGTTTAGGTTTTGTTGTTTATTGGGGTTAGGGTTTTTTGTTGTTTTTTTTTAACCTTTTTGTGATTGTAAACCGTACTAAATTTTGCTTTTGAGTGGGAATTTGCACTCTACAAATTTTGTTTTTTCTCGAACTTTACACACGATGTCTGGTTCCTTCACAGGGAGACTCTGGTGGCCCCCTGATGCAGATGATCAGAGGCAGGTATTACCTTCAGGGCATCGTGTCATTCGGGTCGGGATGTGGACGAGCATATTACCCTGGCATTTACACCAGAGTGGCACAGCCCTTCATCTTGGACTTCATCAAGAAGGCCATAAACAGAGCGTAAACCTTACAGGACAAACATGGTGGAATCCTTGTGACACAATTTATTGACAATCAAATTTATCCACGAATTTGTTACCCTCTGGCACCTCCAGAAAATTGTGGTTCAGACTACCTGCTCTGAGAGATACAAATGCGCTCGAAGAGTGCACGCGATAAAAGGGCAGAAAATGCAGACAGAAAAATGTGGACTGGTGCCTTTCTTTCAAGGTGACTTATGGACTACTGTCGTTCTATCCCTGTGCAGCTTTTTAAAATATACCACTTTGTAGTGTATGACTGTGGGACTTTTCGAACTAAGAATAGGATTCCTGTATAAAAAGAAACAAACCAAACAGACAAGGACGAAGTGGAAAATTGTGTCTTCTGCCAATTTCCCTCCTGTAGTCTTCACGTCGTCGACGTCATTCATCGTTATTGCTATGTTTAAATGCCAGGCTTTCAGGGGACGCAAAAAAACTGCCTTGTTACTCAAATAGGACATTATCTTAATATAAATAAAATATGTTTAGTTCTACTATACCTTTTTCTATTTTAAGAAGAGGAATGAGGCTAGGGCCGACTAATGCGCCTTATCAAAAAAAATTCTGACATACCACTGCGTTGAATGACGGACACGATATTTTTTCAGCTTTGTAGAAGGCTCTCCTAAACATTGTGAGAGGGAGGTGGAGCCTAAAAAGTAGCTTAACCTTGTGATAAATAATGCAACAGAATTATAAGTGCACCCTGATGTTCCTTGGTCGTCCCCTCTGGAATCAGTGTCGTGACTGGGTTTCTGATATATGTGATGGCAGCCTTTAACATTGTTACACTGGACATCCCGCTCTCAAAATGATCTCAACGTATAACTAAAAGCATTTCAAGCCTATCGACAAATACACAAACAAACAAACGAAAACTAAAAAAAACATGCAAACAAACAAACAAACAAACAGCCTCCATCCTACTTACAGAGTTTCTCAAAAGGACATGGCCTGAAATTTCATTTTATGACGATTCATTCTCACTGATTTAAAACTATAGTGAGAGTGAGGCCAAGTTTTGTTGTTTTTAAATCACGTTTAAATCATTAAAAACCGAATATAAAGACGCTCAAATCTGTTACCTGGTAATGACTGCTATATTTACATACAATTGTGTGATATTTTGATGCCTGAAAAATGACCGCACATCAATGGTAATAAACTGGTGATTTGTTGATCTCATTTGCTGAGTTGTAGTGAATTTCGTGAAACTTTTTTTGAATAGTTGTATGATTGTCTGGTCATCTACGTTTGCTGGTAGCAGAGATGGAGGGTAGTGTTGCTGTTTTCTTGTTACATGTACTTGTTTTCATTCTTGTTTGCGGTTGTTTTTTAAGTATTTTCATTTTGTTGCTGGTGTTGTTGTTGTTTTAGTTGCTGTTAATGACAGTGTTATTGCGCCACCATTGTCGTTACTCTTGCTGTTGTTGTTGTTGTTGCTTCTGCTGCTGCTGAGGTTTCATTCGTCTCGATTTAACTGTTGATTTTGCTCATTGGTGCACACTACCAAACACCCTCCCCGCTCTGATATTAAAATTTTCTTTGAAAACATGTTTGTTTTGTTTTTGTAGAGGTTTTACGGCGCTCGCAACTGCATAAGGTCATATGAGCGCCAGAAGATCAGAAGTGTTACAAGAGAGTAACAAACATAAAAAGAAGGGGAGATAAGGACGATAGATGTTTGATAGGAACGAAGAAGCAAACCACACCAGAGCACCCGCCAACCACCCACCTTTGAAAACGGGAATCACTACTTCCATACTTACTTGGATATATAGACAGATGGTTTTGTTCTTTTGGTGATCACGTTAGTTTGAGTTGAGTCTCTTTCAAACTAAATGTAACAGCTACAAAGCGGCAACCCAGAGATTTTAGGCACGAAAGTAAAGTGTTCACTAATTACGGAGGATTTTTAATGTGTGTGGGTTTTTTAAAATTATTTTTGGGGTCTAGTGGTAAGACTCTTGGCCTCCCAAACGTAAGGTTGTGGATTCGAAACCCGCCAAGGGCCCAACGTTGTGTCCGTGAGAAAGGCACTTTACATGAATTTTCCATCCTTACTTCTCCCAAGTGAGAATGGGTACCTAACTATAGACAGTGAAATATGTTGTCAGTTTATACGTGTTTCAAGGTGTATAATCCGAGGCTTGCACTATATGCTTCCTGGTAAGCCGAAAGTGTTTCTTTGCGGTTAAAATAGTTGTAATGTGTATAGAGCATGCTGTAAAGGATGAATATGGGTTATATTTAAAATAAAATCATTATTGACTATTATTATTACAATGAATCATGTGAGAAGAAATAGCAAGTTATAAAAGCTCAATGTGAATAAAAAACATTATGACCGTGTTTTGGACTGTCTTGTCCATAACCATGTACGCTGGATGTCAAATTTTCTTACGATGTTTTTTTTTT